ATAAACCTGTAATATATATATATATATATATATATATAAACTTTTGCATGCAGTGCCAAGTTGTAAAAAAAACATTATTGGAGTTCATATTACAATAAAATTTCAAAATTTCACGTTTAATTCAGTGTTACTTGGTGTTTAACTAGCAATTTTTGAGTGAAAATGTTGTTTCAAGCCAATATTTTGTCAGTGCAAATATCAAAAACCCATGTAAATCCTCATAGCTTTTAGCAACTATAAATAGAGATTTAAATAAAAAGGATCAACGCTTGCAAAAAGTACTATGGTACAGGAATAGTCTCGGTACCATGATTGATAGGCCAATTCATAAACCAATATTTGGTCACTTTGAAATTACTGAACTGAGATTATTGAATTGAACAGATTTTGAGTAAACTAAGTGTTCTTTTAGTTTCATCACATATACTATTATGTATATATCTGCATCATATCAGCTATTGGCATAAACATAAATGGATACATTTTATCCATACTGCAAAATATCACATTATTTATCAATACCATGGTACTGAATCATTTCTATATTCATTTAACAAGGCTACTCCTAATATTACCATAGGATTACCATGATATGTGCCATCTGAAATGTAAACAACAGTGATGACATCACAACGATATTTGCATACTGAATTGTGACTGGTCTTGTCCTTGCATCTATTTAACCACACTAAGAAAAAATTGATGTGGAAACAATTTTCACTCAGAAATTGCTAGTAAATAATTACAAAGAAAAAGCAAGTATTAAACATAAAATTTTGAAGAAAAACTCCAATAATCTTTGTTTTATTTACAACTATTTTTACAAACTATTTTTACAGTGCATATTACACTAAAAAAGTAATTATATTTCACAAAAGACATGCTGATTGTCAAGCCAATAGCAAAAAGGCTCTGATATTGCATTTCATTATACAGAGCCTAGTATGCACTAGTGCTTCAGTAAATGCAAATCTAGTTCAACTGTAGCTCTTCAGCACTAACGGTCACCTGTGACATCTATACAGAAACACTGTGGCCTAGAACGAAATAGCTCAACTAAACAGCCTGCACTAGAGTAAAGCGTACCAAGCGTCCTTTCAGTGTAATACCTCTGATCCATGACCAGAAGCGACTTATCCCAGACTACAGGATGATCACTCTAAATGCTCAGTTCTAAGAGCTCTCTTTCATAAAGAACTTCAAAAGTAACAAAATCATTATCAAATAATACCTCAGATACAATAAAACACAAACACATGGACACACCTGACCTGGATAAGTCTCATATGGCTTGACCGCGACACCCATCGCCATGGCTACTTAATCCCTTCTTACTAGAAAGTTAGGTCTTCTGCCAGGGTCGTCCCTACATGTCCATATATAGACACAATTAGACTTGGGGGCATTTAGAATGACCATATATGGTCAAGGAACAAGGAAGAAGGCTCTTTTCAGATCAGTTCATTGAAATGTATTAGACCATAAAAAACGAATGATGGTGTATGTGCATGCTTTCTAAAAGAGCTGGCACAATAATAATAATCATAATTAAAAAAAATCAGAGCAGTCGTTGCTACCAAAAACAGGTCACCTAGCAACACACAATTAAGGAATACCCTGCAAGCCCGCAGTCTTCAGCCTGTCCATTAGCAGACGAAATTACTGGCTAAACAAACAACCATCTCCCACATGCAAATGACTTTGTTGTTCATAAGAGAAGTGCTCATATTCTTGCCCGCTGGGGTTTTTCACAGATGTTTAGGATATGAGCAATGTACTCTGACTCTATCCAACCTGAAACATCTGGAGTCAGAGATGACTGGGGCACTGGAGAAATGGTTTCATTATATGGAACGAAAGCCAGCTAAACCCATTAACTCAAGTGAGAACGGCAGAGAAGGTGTAACAGAAGCAAAGGGAGGAAAAAATATACAAAGGAAAAATGGAAGCCTTTGAAAGAGAAATGAAACGAGAGGATGTGTGAGGAAGTCACGGATTAGAGTCAGTCATTAAAGATTACAATGCTATCTGTCCTCTTTTCTAGGGATGGGTAGGATCTAGATGATCAACCACTGAGTCCATCTAGACAAAAACACTACACTGCAATACAATGAACTAGCCAACCAGATTTTTCAAACCTTGCACTGGATGGTAGAGAGAATAACAGCAGAAATGTGTCAATATATATCATTTACATAGTGCAAATGTTTTGAATAATTAATTTTTAACTTAAAGAGTTTCATAATGTTCAGCTGTTTTTGCACTGATGTCAAACTTATTTGTTATGAATAATCTTATCTTGTGATTTGAGTCTATCAATTTCCAAAATATTTAATACACTAGATTATCCAAAAATAGTGTTTTCCACACTTATCTAACATATAAAACCTTTTTCCAGCACTAATAACTATTTTGGGATACATGCTGTTACCATGAAATATAATAACTCATACCATGATTTTGGTCATACTGTCCAACCCTACTGAAGCCGCTCGCTCACCAAGCACTGAACCAGTCAGCCTTTAATAATGTTTATCACCGGTCATTTCTCTCCCACCCCAGAGGCTCTCCAATCATATCCATACACTCTGATTACTATCGCCACAATGTGATTATCCTGACTATGGTGATGTGTTGTTTAATTTCCTGCTGGGGTCTGACACTGCATCTCCATTTCGGCTCAGAGTAAAACTCCCAGCGCTGCTTCCCCTCCCCCTTAGTGCAGTCATTGGCCATCGTTCTGAAACATCAAACTTGTATCAAAGGGCTCTAGCGCTAACTGACAGGCTACACTTCACTCACAGTATCTTAGTCAAACAGATCAGCTGCGACGGGCAGATAGTGACAGAGGTTTAAACTAGCAAAGACAAACCATGAAAATAAAATAAAAAACATGTCACTCCAAATCCATTTAGATACGCCTACTACAGAACATACATAAAAGCAATGTAATACAGAATACCAAGCCAAACTAAAACACAATCACTGACACCCTGAAGCTGACAATGACTAATACTGCAGAAACGTGACTGACTAATAACTTAACAGGCCACTGAACCACAAGGCAACAAAATGAAAACATGCTAGCACACTCTAGCACAATTCACCTTACTTTTAATTGAGCTTGTGCTAGACTACAGAAATTCAATATTTAGTGGTATGTAATTTTGCAATGAAAAGGTATAAAAAGATGAAGTATGACACACTCAATTTATTTAATCTTTTTTAAGCCTTTATGGAAAAAAAAAATCTAAGTACTAGATGAATACATCTAGAAACATCATTACTAGCTCAATTCATTAGTATTTCAACAACAAAACAAACACCATTGTTCATTCTTCAAAGAAAGATTCTCTGTGTAGCATTTCTGAAAAGTGAAGTTCAAGGGAAAAAACTGAATATAACTGAATCAATTAACCTACAACCATATGATTCACACACTCTCACTCCGACACAGACAGTTATGAGCTGAAGCACTGGAGGGGGTGAAGGAGAGGAAGAAAGGAGAACATGAAGAAGGTAATGGAAGAGGGCTTTGATTTACTTGTGTCGGGCGATGCCATAGTGGACACAATGACTGGAGGTCCAGTACGCCGGCTGAACTTCTGATTAGCCAAACTCGCATTTTGGCCTGGGACAGCACCACCAATCGGAACTAGTACTCCGTCTGAGAACACTCCAGCCTTGCGCATTACTTGTGGGCTTACATGGGGACTAGGCATGGGCGACATCGTGGCCAAACTCCGATCCCTCTTCATCAACTCCATTGGTACAGTATAGTTGGTGGTGTATGCCTTTGGAGCCTGCTGAGTTGGCAAAGCAGACACAGTCATTGGTTGGGGAACTGCAGGCAGTGCTGGCAATGGTTGTGGCATTGCATGGATTTGTGTTGGTATTCCTGGTAGATGTGATGGAATGGCTACCTGTTGGGACATTGCAGTCATAGGTGGCATGGGCAGTCCAGCATATGGATTGTAGCCTGACAATGGGCGAGGCTGGACTGGAACCATAGCACCACTGTATGCTCCTGCAGACCTGGCTCCAGGATACCCACTGGTTTCAAGAAGCTGCTGGGAGGGAGCACTGCTGGGTCTGCGACTATAACCTTCACCTATCCTTGGAGATATAGTCTGCATGTGGGTAGAGGGTGGCTTCATATACTGGAACTCCAAGCCCGGAGTCAAGGGTGGCGGCTGGTGCACGTAAATGTCACTGCGATGGCTAAAGCTGTTGGATCTGCCACGGACCGGAGCACTGGGATGTAGGGGGGTAGCAGGAAGGATTTCAGGTGGTCGCTTACAACCAAGCACAACACGAGACAGAACCCGAGCTTGTCCCAAGTTTGGGGCCACTGAACGCACATCATTTTCCTCCATAACAGCCAACATTGCAGTGGAGTCAAAGCCCTGCTGCAGTAGAGAAGTGATGGTGCTTTCCGAGACGCCCTCTTTTTGCAGCAATGCCAGAAAATCAGGATCCACATTTTTTTTAGGATCTACAGGAGCCACTGGGGTCTGAGGAACAGTGGGAGGAGGAGCAGCAGTAAAAGGCTGAGCAAGAACTTGAGGTAACGGAGCAGGAATAGTAGCCACACTTGGAGTGTTTACTGGGGCAGGGGCTGTAGGGGGAGCTGGAGTATAGACAGGATTTGGGGGTGCCACGAGTTGCACATGTGGAACTTGCTGCACTAGGTGAACCTGTGGTACCTGCTGAACTTGCTGCACTGGCTGAACAGGCTGCATTTGCTGAACTTGCGGCATTTGTTGCAGTGGCTGAACTTGCTGCATTTGTTGCAGTGGCTGAGCTTGCTGCATTTGCTGGACTGGCTGAACCTGCTGCATTTGCTTTTGATGTATTTGTTGTTGCATTTGTTGCTGTGCTTGTTGTTGAGCCTGTTGTTGGGCTTGCTGTTGCTGCTGTATGGTGTATGTTGAGGTGTTTTCTGGATGCATGACCATACCTCGGGCAGTTCCATCCATTCCTTGAGCAACTGGTTCAACCACCAGGCAGGTGGGGGTTGGCTGATGAGGATCAATCGGCCTTCCGTTAACATCACTGTAGACTGAATGGCTAGTGAGAGAGGCAGGTGGCTCAGCACCGTAACATGGAGAATTTGGCTCCGTTATATAACGAGCTGGAGATGGCGCTTGGCTTGGAATGCGTTGACCATCCTGCATCATTTTGGTGCCAGGAGTAGCAGGTGGGGGTCCAGGCAGAGACGGTTCTCTGTAAATACGACCCATGTCATGAGCAGTTGGAGGTGGGGGAGGAGGTATGCCAGGTGTTGCAGCAGCAGAACAAGGCCGACCTCCTGAGCTCTGTTCCCACAGTTGCCGAGGACCAGCCATCATTCCATAATGTGAAGATGGCCTATTAAGAGAATGGGGTTGCTCTCCATGATAAAAACCCTCTGTTGGCCGTGGTGGCATGCCTGAGTCTTGCTGATAGTAATCGTGGTGTGCCAGGGAACCACGGTGAGCCATGGGTAGCCGATCGTAATGGCTGTTCAACTCAGGAACAGAGTTCTTTCTTACGTTACGGGGGTCCGGACGATCCAAATATCCCTGATTGTAAAGAGATTCCTGGTAGGAGTCCTGCTCCCATTTCAAATCCAGGTCAGGGGGACGCACTCCAGGCGGTGGTTCATACCATCCCCCTCCCGCATCCGCTCCATACCTCAGTGAGTTGCGTCGACCAGCCATCCGGGCCTGCTGCTCGTAAACACTGTCACTGCGCTCCCAATGACCCTCATTCCCACCCAGCGTGTCCCAGCTCTGGGAGCGGCCGATCGGCAACTGCTTACTGGAGATCAACATGAGGAAGAGATATAACTTACTCACAGGGAAGAAAAATTAGAAAGGCTTTCCTTTAAGATTCTAGTTGCAGGGTGTCAAGTGGTGCGAGGAAGGAGGGTGAAAGAAAAATTTTTTTAAACAGAAGTATCGCTTTTCACCTGAGGTCCAGTTGTAATTTCTGTCTCCGGTCTATATCACTGTAGCAAGGTCTCGCTATCAAATGGCTCCTCTTGCTTGGCGATCGGTGAATAATTAATCTGGGGAATACTGCTGGTGGTGATGGAAGCAGGAAAGAGGACACCAAATGCTTTCACAAATAACATTGGTAGTTGAAGCCTGCCTAACTACTCCATTCTGGCAATGCAAAGCGACAAGCGTGAACAGACAGAAGGAAAGAAAAAGAGAGAAAACAGAGAGACAGGAAGGAAAATTTTAACAAGGGGAGGATTGGTGTGGGGGAGGCAGGGGCTTGTGATAATCCGCTCCAACTCCGAACATTTTACTCATTCAGATTGCTATGAGGGATTACAGACCAAATAAAGCCAGCTTAAATCCACTCTTCACCCTTGTGATGTCACATGCAAACGCACACAAAATGTGTCCCTGATGATAATGAATACAATGAAATCCCTTTGGACAGGAACACATGCTGCCATGGACATGCTTACCTGATGCCAATGATTGAGGTGGTCTGTGCTTCTTTCGAAAGCCTGGCCAGCTGGCATTAAACAGGCAGTCTTTGCTGGACTCCAAGAGATGGGCCAGTGGGGTGGGCCATTGAAACTGATACAGACCTAATGCAGCAGGGCAGAATCGTGCAGCACTGTCAGGAAACGTCAAATCCTGATTGAACAGTAATCCTATGATGTGCCAGCAATGCCTGCAGAGCTACGCAAATGCAGAGATCCAGCATCACCACTCATCTATTGCATTATGACCCGAGCCGACACAGCACAGCTATATGAACCACTGCCTCCAAACACCCTTCACAGCACACCAACAATAAGGTCACAAAGCTTCTGTAAGCTTATGGATCACAATACTTTAGCTTTTAAGAGGTTGGGTTAGTATTCGATGTGTTACTAGGTTGTGTGTTGTTTTTTTGTGTGTGTGTTCCATGTTTTTCTATGGTGTTTGTTCGGCACTTTGGTCTGCAGGTGCAGTTGTAAAGTGCTTTATAAATAAAGTGAATGAATGAATGAAAAACAATCAGCTTCATTACAAAACCAATCAGACCTGATGCAATCTGCGATACCATTCTTAGTGAAAATTACATAAGGATGCTAAAATGTCTCACAAATATTAGAACCACATAAAAATTCTTAGCTACCCCTTAAAAGAAGAGCCCACTCAAAAATAATTGACTCACTCTTATGTCGTTCCAAACCTGTTTGACTTTCTTCCATGAAACACAACAGAAGATATTTAAAAAAAAAAAAAAATGTCTCACTGGATTTTTGTCCATACAATGAAAGTCAATGGGATTCAGTGTTGCTTTTGTGTTCTGCAAAAGAAAGAAAAGCATACAGGTTTGGAATGACAGTAAATTATGACAGAACTATCCCTTTAATATAACAATGACTGTTTTTAGATATTCATTTTACATAAACAAAGAAACCATCACCCCATGTTTTGATATTCCCCACTGAGAAATCATAGCTATGTTATTAAGATAAGCATTATAAAACCCACAGGGGGTGAAAGTCAAAATCTGGGACATCAAATAATACTACAATATCTAAAGACTTTCAAATGTTTTTTTCATGAAAAACATTCCAACAATATGAATGTTAACAGCTGAATCTTGAGTTTCCGGTTTAGGAAAGCTTTTTGTTGTGAACAGATTTTGCCCACCTGCCACTGAACCACTCCACCCAAATCCTTTCTGATCCCCACAAACACCAGAGAGAGAGAGAGATGGAGAGGGAGGGAGAGAAAGAGACTAGTGGGGATAAAATTAATAGGGCATATTCTTTGTCTATCCACTGTCATTGTGATACATTCTGCATTTTGATACAATCTAAAGCTTTGCACAGTTTTAAAGTGACTTTCCAGCACTTCGCCTTGTTTTGATCCTTTCACTTTTATAAAACATGTTTGATGCCAGTAATACAGCAATGGCAGGAATTTCATTTTAGCTTTAAGCCTGTTGTTCAGAATCAACAACACCTGTATATGTTAGCATTTTCAGATTGCAAACGAGCCCCAATATAGTTTACTTGTCATAAGTAACCTAACTGTACTCTCTACACAGGCATGTCACAAAAAGCCATATTAACTACTTCCAGGTTGTTGCTGAGAAACACATAACACATTATTTTAGAATGCACTATTTTTAACACTTTTCAGCAATATTGAAATAATTATTTTCATAATCAACAGTTCCCTCGCCTCATCATCGAACTGCATTCTGGAACCGAATTCTCTGTGTTTGCTACATGTCAAGCTCCCTTATTATTATGCTGCCTACCTTTTGGAGCGTGGCGCTGATGCCTTACTAGTTCACTAGGTTTTGGCACAGAGCAAGAGAGAGTATTTAATACAGCCAAATGAAATCAAATCTCTCTGGAAGAGTCTTTTCTTTCTCTTTGTGACTTTCGCTTACAGACACAGTGAGGATTATATTGGGTTCTTTAATAACTGCTACACAATTACCAAAAAAGAAAAACAACATGGATCAGTACAGTTGCAACACAATGGAAAAATCAAGAACAGTTTCATGGCAACAGTGTCTTTAGATATCCTTGTGCAGAACTTTAAGGAACAAAAGAGAGAAAGACTGAGAGACTGAAACAAAGGAAAAGAGAGAGAATTTTCATAAATCCTTTGTGCCCGAGAGCCTGCGATCTAATACAAAACCCTGTGGGACGTTTGGCTTCAACAAGCTTCTCTGCCTATCTGGGAATGCATGTGTAAGCAATTTTATACATGACTACTAATACGAGAGCTCTTTGAGGGAAGCAAATTCATAAAAAAAGGATATGAAGTGATTAAAAGCAGAATGTGGTGAAATGAAATATTGCTTATAACTAATTTACTCTCGTTCTTGTTCAGCTGGGAGTTCCTAATGCTGTATATACTGTGTGTTTATATATTTAAATTGCTCATAAACTGACAATTTATCAAAATGTTCTCATTTTGTTATAAGAACAACTCGCACTGAATTAAAAGAAATGCTCTGTGTACAAAATGATTTAAGCTCTATTATGGTATGGCATGATTTCAATCTAGTCAAAATTTTATTATTTAAAGCTATTATAGTATTATTTAATATTTAGAATTTTTAATTTTTATATTTTCGATTTTCATTTAATTTAAAGGCAGAGTAAGTGATTTCTGGTAGCCAATGTTGATATTTGAAATCACCAAAACAACCACGCCCCTACCCCAAAAGGGTCTTGCCCCTATTTTGATAGCTCCGCCCCACATATACGTACGCAACCCAGGCAACGATTAGTTCTGTGAAACAAAGCAAAACCAATGTTACACCATGTCTACGGACGTGAGCGGCCAGTTTTCTAAAGTGTTTTTGAAAAATCACATACCCTGCCTTTAAGTTGTAGTAATTTTATGTGCTTTGTCATTTGCATTTGTTTTTTATTTCAGTTTTAGTTTGAGTAATTTTAGCATTTTAACATAAAAATCAACATAGCTGCCATGGTGACATTTCTACTTTCTGTTTTTAAATAAATTAATATTTTCCATTTTTCATTAATATTAATATTTTATTATATTTTGGCTTTACCAAAAACATTTTTGTAATAGTTTTAGTTAACATCACTGGTCTTAAATGGCCATTAGCTGGTCTGAACTGGTCTAGATGGTTAAAAAGCTGGACAACCAGCTAGTTGGTCTAAGTTTGACCTGGTAGTGCATCTTGGTCAAGCTGGCTGGGTCTGGTAGACCTCGCTGTATAGAAACACACCAGCTACTACTGTATGTTCCAGAAAACCAGCTTGCCCTGTTATTCCAGCAAGGGTATTAAATATTTACTTGTCACGTACTATAATAATCTGAGTACCCTGATCTTCCATTATGCAAATACAATCAACATATTGTTATGAGCCTTGTCTCTTTTTTTCGCAGAAGCACAGCAATCTTGGTTCATGCACACATACAGAGCTACAACATTTCATTCAGGAAAAACAGTGCAGTCCAATTTATAACCACTCAAGTTCTACTACTGAACAGCTAGTAGAAGAGCTCTCAGATTATACACATTTGAATAAGTTTTTCTTAGGCAGCCTCTGCAACTGACAGCTCTATATTCAGACATCTCACTGCAACACATTCACAACTTCTCTTCCTCATTTCTCTTCTCTATTTCTTCTTTTCTGCTGATTTCTCCTCTGCCAGCAGAATTCCCTTGAGGAGTCCCACCGTGGTGCTGTAATAAGTCTCTTTTTTTTTTAAATGAAAGAGCGAGACTTGACATTTCTTCATTATAGGAGGTATACTGAAGAACTTGGCTTTTCCAACTCTGGGAAAACAAGTCAGGCGTTTAACGAGCCAGCGGCTGCAGATGTGATGACTGCAGGCTTTGTGCTGGAGCTGTAGGGAATATGACTACGACTCCAGTTTCTGACACCAGATCTTTCAGACGTGAACTATCTCTTTGAAACTTTACCTAGCGGTTAATATGTCACACACTTGCACTACTTAACTTCAATGATAGGGGACACCACAACACAATAGCTAAAAATCCCTCAATGAAACGCTTCCTAGAGGGACTTACTGATCTTCCAACGAATTACAAACACCTGATGACTGGGATTTTATGAACATTGTCGTTTAAACATCTCTTTTGAGACGCTTCTAGTCTCTACAAGCAAGAAGCTGTGGTTTAATTTGTGTGTTTTTAAGTGCAGCACTGCGTTCAAAATAAAAGCTTGATGGTTTAACATTTAAAAATGAAGAAATTAAGACTAATAAATATCAGTATTGTTATAATGAAATCAAATAAGAATCATTACTATCGTAACATTTCACTGTAAAATAAAAAATGAGTATAAGAAAAACAATAATATTCTTAGTTTTTATTTTACAGTGAAATATTACAATAGTAATAAACCTTATTTTATTTAATACAATAAAAATAATAATATAATAACAATTATTATTAATATTTATACATCAAAAAATTACAAAACATTTTTATCAGGAAAATAAATTAATAAATTAATAAATTAATTTAAAAATAAATAAATAAATCTAAATAGCTTTATTTGCTAACGCAAGCATGCATGAAACTTGTCTTTGAATGCAACAAGGACAACTCACACAGCATTAAAGAAACGTTGCGAGTTCAATTCAAGTTCAAGTTCAGTCAAAAGCATTGGAGGCATAATGTTGATTACCACAGAAAAATTATTCAACTCGTCCCTCAGCTTCTTTGAAAAAAGCCAATGCGATACACAACAAAACAACACTTTTTAAAAAGCACAGCTATTTGCAAACTCATTTCACTTCC